ACTAAATAAATAAATGAATAAATACATGACTAAATGACTAAATAAATGACCAAATGACTAAATAAATGACCAAATGACTAAATAAATGACCAAATGACTAAATAAATGCCCAAATGACTAAATGGATGACCAAATGACTAAATGGATGACCAAATGACTAAATAAATGCCCAAATGACTAAATAAATGACCAAATGACTAAATAAATAAATAAATAAATGACTAAATAAATAAATAAATAAATAAATGACTAAATAAATAAATAAATAAATAAATAAATAAATAAATAAATAAATAAATAAATAAATAAATAAATAAATAAATAAATAAATAAATAAATAAATAAATAAATAAATAAATAAATAAATAAATGACTAAATGACTAAATAAATAAATAAATAAATAAATAAATAAATGACTAAATAAATAAATAAATGACTAAATGACTAAATGACTAAATAAATAAATAAATAAATAAATAAATAAATAAATAAATAAATAAATAAATAAAAAAATAAATAAATAAATAAACACGCGTAATAACAAAGTTAAATCGCATACCTTCTCGTCTCATTACGTTTTATTCCAATTACCTTGCTAACCAATATACCCGCACTCGCTATGATAGATCGCCCTGGTTCTAGTATCAAACATAGACCACTTTCCTTTATTTTATCAGCGATAGAATCGATTAGTTCGCCACCACTTGGTATGCCTGGAGATCCACCCTGTCAAAATCATAGAAAAGCTATCTAAGCCTTGTAACGATTTGTTGAAGGCGATAGTCGTCGTGCCGCGCATGCGCAAGACGTACTAGTAAGCATTACGTGGTGGATGAAAGCAATGTCGTTCAAATATTCAACTGTGATTGGTTGTGTAGTCGTTCGTCGTTTAGAAAATGGTAGTTTTTTTAATAGTAAAACGTAGTTTCTTTCAACAGAGCCTTTAGACAGGTACTGTGTACTGTGAAACCATTTATTTTCACTATTTTGATAATTTTAGAAATTTGGCTGGGTTTTAAGTTCACAACAATGAGTTTTATTTTACATTGTTCACATGGATTTCATTTAGCGAATTTTAATTACCAATGAAAATAGCGAAATTAAAAACCAGCGAACAATTATTGCGTTTATAGTACTCAGTATTGTGTATTGATGGACGACTGCAGATCAAATAAAGTTCACCACTAGAGGGCTCCGTTTATTGGGAAAATATACTCGCGACATTACACGTCATACGAGATTGAACTATTATATACACACATACATACCTGGATATATTTTCTGTAATTTATTCCGAGTCCTCCACCTACATTTAAATATTTCAACCGGAAACCTCGCCCCTGAACGTGGTTATTGTATCGCAGCATAGCTGACACAGTAGCCCTGCAATGAACAAATACGTATGGATGTCATTCAACCGGAAACCTCGCCCCTGAACATGATTATTGTATCGCAGCATAGCTGACACGGTAGCCCTGCAATGAACGAATACGTATGGATGTCATTCAACCGGAAACCTCGCCCCTGAACATGGTTATTGTATCGCAGCATAGCTGACACGGTAGCCCTGCAATGAACAAATACGTATGGATGTCATTCAACCGGAAACCTCGCCCCTGAACATGGTTATTGTATCGCAGCATAGCTGACACGGTGGCCCTGCAATGAACAAATACGTATGGATGTCATTCTTCTGAAAAAAATGAGGTGCCGCCTTTTTAGAGATTTCCTAGGAGTTTAGGAAAGGCACGGCGCTTTATTTGGTAGCCAGAGTTTACCGGGGTTGAATTTAATTGGGTCGAATACAATTTGTATGACCTTGGATATTGCTCAAGACGTGGTGGTCGTCGCGCAGCGCGTTTTCGAAATTCATGTAAACAAACAATGTATTTGCACGCGTTGTGTACGTCGCCACCGTAACGAGTTACATATCCAAAGGGACGCGGCGCGACTACCATCGCGCTTTAATGCTGTAAAATTATTAAAGAGCGGTGGTCGTCGCGCCGCGCACTGTTCTACCACAGTCAAGTAAAAATTGGCATTCCAGCTCAGCAGCCAATCAGCGACGGCCTAACGCTTGGATGACAATTTCGGTTTCAAATACCCCGGCTTAGTGTTCTAGGTTCTTCGCGTAATTAGGTGTTCGTATGCAAGGGATATTTCCACACAAAAACGACGAATTAGGCCGAATTTTGTTATCGGTTGGCTTAATATATCCCCAGCGGACCGTATTTTTGTGAAAGATTGGTATTTTTGTCCTGATTTGTAGGAATCTGAAAAACGCGTTTCACAACTTGTCCCTTATTTAGTTTTATGCGTCATTCAAGAAGGCGGCACCCATATAGTAAATATCGTATTTATTTTATTATCACGTGTGCGCCAGCTGACTGTGTGTTCTACATAGTTCTCATAGCGACGTACGCAACGCGTGTAAATACACTGTATGTGTACACGCAAAATTCGAACACGCGCTGCGCGACGACCATTGCTCTTTAAATGTAGACATTGTGAAAGTAATTGACATGCCTTGCCTGAACACATCGATGTTTGTTATGGTGGACCCAATATGACAGTGCAGACCGACGAGATCGATGTTGTCGTCACTTCCGGCTTTCCCAAGGGCTGTATCAAGATCAGTTTCCGGTATTCCAAATTTGGACACAGCGGACCCAGTAGCCAAGTATCGATGTACTTCCTGTTAATAGATACATCCCAAAATATTTCAAAGGAGTTGTTCATGTTGCACTAAGGTTAACGTGGAAGTAACAACTGTTTTTGCAGCAGACACAATGTCATTAGTTTGATGGAATAACGAACTATGTGAATGCGCATGCGTCGGTCGAGAGTAGATTGTACGTACCAGTAATTCAAACTATAGACATCTACTGAAATATGTTAGTATATTACGTCATAATCCAATAGGTATATCAAATCGCAATGTCGAACACAAATTATAAAAATAATATGAGGTTATTACGTGGATACTGCAAAGTATGCACGAAAACAGTACAGCGGGAGTATCGACCGACGCGCACGTCGTACTGTCTGAGTGCATACTTTGAAGTATCCACGTAACAACCTTATCATTATACATCTTTTCCTCCCAAGAATACATCACGAGAGTGCCGAAATCCAAAAAGTTAAAAAAAGATTTAGCGAACTGCTTTTAGTGGAGTCCGGTCAAGCCCTGGGGCTGCTATGTTTGTATTTATTATTAGAGAACGCTTACGCATGCAATCGCTCCATATTTGGAATTCGCGTTTCCTAATATGGCAGAATGAAAATACCAAGTGTAATACCTCAAAATACGCCACGCTGTAACTTATGGCGCTACGGTGACAGATGTATAATAATAACAGTTCTCAATATTATCTCTGAACGAGTAGATCTTGGATACAACACATTCCTTGTTAGTCTACAAATGTTTTCTTTATACGTCAACATTCGTGGTGTTGTATATATGTTCTTCGTTTCGCCTCGTTTCGCATTGATTTGTGTTTACTGCGTGTTGTAACGTACTGTATTTCACCGTAATGTGTTGCACCGTACTGTGTCGTATCACACTGTATTACATCGTACTATGTGCTGCATTCTTTGTGTCTGTTTCAATCAATTGCTACCTCTGTTTGTTTGTATCTAATAGCCTCTACCAAGAAAATACCCAATATGTTACATGTTAGTGTCTTGTTTTTAATTTGCCGTAGAATTTGACGGGGGGGGGGGGTCTTAACTAATTGCAGTGAGAACCAGTGTGACTGGCCTGCCGACGGAGTTCTAAGGGTTGATTTTCTAAGTTAAATGTTCAATCAATATTTTTTTAGAATTATTCTTTTATTTTACCCTTGAATCTAAAATCACTATATTGTACGAACTGTAATGTGTCGCGTCGTACTGTAATGCATTGTACTGTATTACAACGGAATGTATTACATCGTACTGTATCATATCGTGCTGTATTACATTGTACTGTATCATATTATACTGTATTACATCGTACTGTATCATATCGTGCTGTATTACAACGTACTGTATTATATCGTACTGTATTACATCGTACTGTATCATATCGTACTGTATACATCGTACTGTATTACAACGGAATGTATTACATCGTACTGTATCATATCGTGCTGTATTACAACGTACTGTATCTTATCGTACTGTATTATATCGTACTGTATCATATCGTGCTGTATTACATCGTACTGTATCATATTGTACTGTATTACATCGTACTGTATCATATCGTTCTGTATCATATCGTAATACATTACATCGTGCTGTATTGCATCGTACAGTTTTACACTGTGTCGTATAATATTGCATTGTTTCCTGACATAAAACATGGACACTTACCGGATCAATGTCCGGGTTCATTCTTAAGAGCATTTTCACCTTCTTCCCTAGTTGCCTGGCAACGCTGCTGATATGGTCGATGTCGAACAGCGAGTCAGCGTTGATCATGACGTCATGCGTGACGGCCAACTCAATTTCCCATTGCGTCTTACCGTTGCCGTTGAAGACGAGTTTATCTGTACTGAAGCCCGCCAGCATTGCTAGCTTGAGTTCGTTACCGCTGACCAGCACAGCCGTACATCCCAGGTCTCTCAGTATTCGAAGAATCGTCAGATTATTGTTTGCCTTCACCGCATAACCTTAAGTATCAATTGATCAATCAATCAATCAATCAATAGTTAATCAATAAATCAAAAGAACAAACAAATCAATCAATCAATCAATTAATCAATCAAAATAACAAACAAAGCAATCATCAATCAAGACTACCAGCCAACAATACAAACAAAAACACAGACGGTGACATTTTGCATGAAACGCAGATTGTAGGGTATTACTTAGTGGATGAGTGAATGGCAACATTCAGTGAGCAAAATTTCCAAGTCAGCAATAATGTGCTCACCGAATCAGATAAGGAAACCTTGTCATAAACTGAACGGTAGGCGCAATTTTCCATTCACATCTTCTCCACATGCACATTAGTACATAACCGTTTTGTTACACTTTTTTTTTTTTAAATATATCGATACAGGTTTTGATGGGCTCGGCGATTTGTTATTAAATAACAACCGACTTTTACCAACTTCTTCTGTTTTGAAAGTATGGGTCCTTATTTGTTGCACGTGAAATTGTGTTAATCCTTTACGCCAATGATTTCCGTATCCGATCCAGTGAGCAAAGTTCGCCGAAATGTGATCCCCATTTTCTGCCACCGCCGCCCGGTGTCGTACCAGTGTTATCTGTATTTTGATCGAGACGTCACGAAACCGTAACTGATAAGGCGACCGCGATGTATGGATATACTCACCAAGAATATAGGGAAGGTCGTGTCTTTGCAATGCCTCCACGTACGACCGGACATTATCACCGATCTGTCGTTTACTGTACATGAAAAACGGGCTTCCGTACTCCGATGCCTTGGCGAATTCGTCCTGGACTGTCTTTACTTGTAGGTCCTCGCAGAACAGGTACCCGTCGGGCGACGTATGAAACACTCAGTCATGGTCATAGTCGAATTGCCTTTGAAGGGAGGTGTATGCCAGGTACGATCTTACCAGACGCGACGCGTTAAGTGGAACCAACGGTAATTGCTCCCATCTGTACTACAGCAGTCGCACAGAACAGAGTTCAAAAATCACGTGTTTACAATGCCTCACTGACCTGTCAAGCGTGTTGCTGATTTATGTACGAGTGCCGTTAATATAGTTGGCGTATATATTTACGATCATATCACGTGACCTACCACCAGTGAAAGAAGGTCGACCGTGCACTGGCATTATCCGTATACAATGCGGTAGTTATTTTTGTTACTAGTATGTCATACAATATATACGTATGATTAACCGTACGTCTATTAAAGGGAAACTCAAGGCTAACAACATAATACTCACAGATAAAAGAACTCGGTAAATGTAAGAACATGCAATTAACAGTTTTACATTATCACTTTTCATTGTTTAGATATTCAACTTTTCATCAATTTATGTAGTCCGCCATCTTGATTCTTCAGCAAAGGATTATGGGTACAGTATGACATCATAATATTTAAACGAAACGGCATTTCACAGGTTTCAGCGTCTCGTTATATTTTGCTAATATCTTGTTCATTCTAATACGTTTGTAGTCACTAAATCCTTTAAATGCATATCACAATTTGACTTGGCAAGTAAATATTTAATATTGTATAAAACAACATCTTAAAAAAATATGCTGTCATTTGATAAAAATGTGCGCGCCCTTGCCCATGACCATGCACACTATGAATCAACTTTGAACGAGGCTAGAAGCTGCTTACTTAATTCGACACAATATCGCGTGCATCGAAAACCCTGCAAATGATAAATTATGTGCATAGTCTGCCGCGTATGATTTGTTTACGATTTTTTTTGTCTGTCAACAATTAACACGTCAACAGTCACGTGGTTGCCGGGCTGTGAACATACCCGGATGTTCGCTGCCGAGAATATTGCTGAATAGCACATTAAACTTTCAGTATTTGTAATCTGAATATCAACATGCAAGTGTTAGTGTTATGGTCGTCGACGTTTTTTTTTCCTGAGTTTACGTCATTGCAAAATAGTAAATAAATTATAGGTTATAACGCATAGAAAGTTTTCATCAATAATTTAGTACTTCTCTAAATACAGCATTCTAGTGCTAGGATCGTCGACGTTTTTTTCCTGAGTTACGTCATTGCAAGATAGTATATATAGACTACAGGTTATAAAGTAAAGAAAGTTACGGCGTTTCGCATGCGCGCGCATGTCGTTTTGGGGCGTGACGTAAACGTGTTATTGTGTTTCTGGGTGTACCAATCGACGTCACGGGAGAGTGCTCTATAGCGTGTAGTTGTTTACAAACGAACGTTTACCCATGAGCCTTTGCGTTGTTAACGTGCGTTGTTATCCCCTTTACGATCAGTTGACTATAGCCTCATGAATATTAATGAGCAGCATATTTCAGTTCTGGTAGTAGCTCGCATTGATAATGTTAAATATGCAAATCATCTGGTAATTTATTCACCACTATCATCTCACCACATTTTAGTTCTGTGAGACCGTCTGTGCTGTGCGTGGATTAAATAATTGACTGAAATAGACACACACATTACTGTTATTTTATTATAAATCTAAATACCAAATATCAATACCATGTGATGTTGAGCAAACACATGAACATACTCAACTCAAACTATTTATCTGATTGTATTCTGTTAATACATCTTTTCAATAGACGCCCTCAAGCGACAATGCATTTCTGTGACGTCAAAGTTACGTAGAAGAATGTCAGCAGGGTCTTTGAAATTAAAACTCTTCCTATTGGTTGCGTAGTCGTTCATTAATAATATGGAAAATTACTGAAGAACAATATTTTTCATTGGTAGACAGACAGACAGACAGACAGACAGACAGATTTCATTCACAAAATTGCATCATCGATGAGCCTCGCCGCTAGTGATGGCTGAGGGCGTCATATCTCCAACGTAGTTGTTTAGTCGCATGCATATCACGTTACATCATGGCATTAGCTTAACGAGAGCTCTGGCAATTGCCATTAAAGTGCTGACAATTTAAAAGGCGGTGGTCGTCGCGCCACGCATGCGCGAGGTATGGGTCTCATAAGAACAACGACGAACTGAGACGTTAACAAACTTTTAACTAAAGAATTTCTTTGGTGATTGGAAGGCACAAAAGAGGCACCGGCGGTAATTAATCACGTGTGATAATTAGGTCAAAACTCGTACTCGTGGTTTCCTTTAGAAGAGCGCATGTCGCACATGTGCGGCGCAACGACCACTTCCCTTTAAGGATAAGCATTACACTAGAATGCTCGTTGTAAATTCTGTTTAAAATCAAAAGTCGAAATGGAAATTAAAAAAGTTGTTCTGTTTTATCGACGAGTTGTCAATACGTTGAGAGAAAAGCATCTCATGAAACAATATAATATTTGCAACACCTGAAAGGCACTGTACGTTGCACAGCAGAGGATCGTAATGATGTATAAGAACGAGGCTCAACGGATATGACGTTGTGTGATCACACGCGTGTGAAGAGTGCTTTCGTCTGGATATTGATAGTCTTACTCCAAACAACCCTTGTGGAATGCTACAATATGCCAAGAACATGTGAAAAACCTAAACGACTTGAAAATAAAATGATATTGTGAAATAAAAAAAAAAAAAAAATATCTCCGTGCAACCAATATCATCTATCAACCATAGCCATATTTGGTCATCCTGTAAATATAATAAATACAACACATACGTAAGTAAGTCTCCAACGAAGGAACTAACGTGCCTCCAGAGTCGTCAAGAAGCACATGTTTAAATATCGTGTAAGACACCACATACTTTAATACCCAGTCTGTTGCTATTCTGTTTTACACAAACAATTTCTATAAACGATGATTAAAAACTGTAATGTGGACAGTTTTCTTCAAAATTAATCTGTTTGTGATCATTTCGCACCCTTGAATCAGCTGTACTGATGTCGCCCATTCTCTTTAACCTGACCTGTACTTAAAATTATTACATAAAGGCTGCTGTGTAGAGAACGACTGATCTTAACATTCAACATGCTTATAGTTAAAGCGGGAGGGTCGTCACCTGCGCAGGCGCGGGAATTGAGTCCCAAGCGACGATAACAACACTCGCTAAAACGCAAAGGCTCATGGGTAGACGCTTGTTTGAAAACAATGACACGCTATGGCCGTCTGACGCATGCGTAGGTGACGACTCCCCCGCTTTAAATGTGATTACACTGTGGCACGGATGATTAATTATGCAAATCTCAAATGAAATCAACGTCACGTGTCACGGTGCAGAACCGCGGCTTTCTGACACTCCAGGTACACACCTTGAGGTACACATATATACACGGCATTAGTGAGAGAAAGTCTTGTAAAACTGTTTTGCCTTGTTCTTGTAGATCGTGTTGTAGATGAATGATGAGGAAATCCATATTGAGATATTTGCTTTTGCTTAATGATCTGTGGTCGGGCGTTTTTTTTTTACTAACGTTGTAGACGCCGTGTGAGCCCACAACAAACACGGCACGGTGTGGCGACCGTTGCGCTTTGAATGAAGTTGAATTGAAGCAAGAAATATTAATTTAAAGGGTATTGAAGTAACACTGAAGATCGTCTAAGACGGTGATGCACTGCTCATGCAATCATAAATCCTGATGTATCGAGACAAAAAGAAATGACTACTCGCCTTCATCTCCGCTAGTTTCTGTTCACCAATAATACAGCCAGTAAACTTCCAACGAATAGCAACACATTGAGTTGTACCATCACCACACCGGCGTCTTAATAACAAGAAGCAAGAAAAAAAACACCTTATCAACTCAAATTAAAACAAAAAATGGTTTAGAGCGTGTCATTATCATAAGCTTTAGTAACAACTCTGATTGGGCACGTGTTTTAGGTGGGCGTCTCGCCAAATCTGCGCATATTACCGGGGTCGAATACACGCCCTCTCAGTACAGTTCTCTTTTATGGAGCCCGGCATCCGGGTTCTCAGGATATTTAATTTGTTACCATCCAAAATAAAAGGCAGGGTGTGTGTGTGTGTGTGTGTGGGGGGGGGGGGGTCATCGAAATGTATACTTGCGCGCTCAGTGACGTGTCTCAGTGAATGAGCTCATAA